GTTCTCTGTTCTGTTCTCTCTGTCTCTCTCTGTCTCTCTGTCTCTCTCTCTCTGTTCTCTCTGTCTCTCTGTTTCTCTCTGTCTCTCTGTCTCTCTCTCTCTGTCTCTCTGTCTCTCTGTCTCTCTGTTCTCTGTTCTCTCTGTCTCTGTCTCTCTGTTCTCTCTGTCTCTCTGTCTCTCTCTGTCTCTCTCTGTTCTCTCTGTCTCTCTGTTCTCTCTCTCTTCTCTCTGTCTCTCTCTGTCTCTCTGTCTCTCTGTTCTCTCTGTTCTCTCTGTCTCTCTCTCTCTGTCTCTCTGTTCTCTCCTGTTCTCTCTGTTCTCTCTCTCTCTGTTCTCTCTGTCTCTCTGTTCTCTGTCTCTCTCTCTCTGTTCTCTGTCTCTTCTCTCTGTTCTCTCTGTCTCTCTGTTCTCTCTGTCTCTCTTGTTCTCTCTGTTCTCTCTCTGTCTCTGTCTCTCTGTTCTCTCTCTCTGTCTCTCTGTCTCTCTGTTTCTCTCTGTCTCTCTGTCTCTCTGTCTCTCTGTCTCTCTGTCTCTCTGTCTCTCTCGTTCTCTGTTCTCTCTCTGTCTCTTCTCTCTGTTCTCTCTGTTCTCTCTGTTCTCGTCTCTCTGTTCTCTCTGTTCTCTCTGTCTCTCTGTTCTCTCTGTCTTCTGTCTCTTGTCTCTCTGTTCTCTCTGTCTCTCTGTCTCTCTGTTCTCTCTGTCTCTCTGTCTCTCTGTTCTCTCTGTCTCTCTGTTCTCTCTGTGTCTCTCTGTTCTCTCTGTTCTCTCGTTCTCTCTGTCTCTCTTCTCTCTGTCTCTCTGTTCTCTCTGTTCTCTCTGTTCTCTCTGTTCTCTGTCTCTCTCTCTGTCTCTCTGTCTCTGTCTCTCTGTCTCTCTGTTCTCTCTGTTCTCTCTGTTCTCTCTGTCTCTCTCTGTCTTCTCTGTTCTCTGTCTCTCTCTCTGTCTCTCTCTGTTCTCTCTGTCTCTTCTGTCTCTCTGTTCTCTCTGTCTCTCTGTTCTCTGTTCTGTCTCTGTCTCTCTGTCTCTCTGTCTCTCTGTTCTCTCTGTTCTCTCTGTCTTCTCTGTTCTCTCTGTTCTCTCTGTTCTCTCTCTCTGTCTCTCTGTCTCTCTCTCTGTACTCTCTGTTCTTCTGTTCTCTCTGTCTCTGTTCTCTCTGTTCTCTCTGTCTCTCTGTCTCTCTCTTCTGTTCTCTCTGTCTCTCTGTCTCTCTGTTCTCTCTGTCTCTCTGTTCTCTCTGTTCTCTCTGTCTCTCTGTTCTCTCTGTCTCTCTCTGTTCTCTCTCTCTGTTCTCTGTTCTCTCTCTCTGTCTCTCTGTTCTCTCTGTCTCTCTGTTCTCTCTGTCTCTCTGTTCTCTCTGTTCTCTGTTCTCTGTTCTCTCTGTCTCTCTGTTCTCTCTGTTTCTCTGTTCTGTCTCTCTGTTCTCTTCTGTCTCTCTCTCTCTCTCTCTCTTGTCTCTCTGTCTCTTCTGTTCTCTCTGTTCTCTCTGTCTCTCTGTTCTCTCTGTTTCTCTCTGTCTCTCTGTTCTCTCTGTTCTCTCTGTCTCTCTGTTCTCTCTCTGTTTCTCTCTGTTTCTCTCTGTCTCTCTGTTCTCTCTGTCTCTCTGTCTCTCTGTCTCTCTTCTCTCTGTTCTCTCTGTTCTCTCTGTCTCTCTGTTCTCTCTGTCTCTCTGCTCTCGTTCTCTCTGTTCTCTCTGTTCTCTGTCTTCTCTCTCTGTTCTCTCTGTTCTCTCTCTGTCTCTCTCTCTCTGTTCTGTCTCTCTGTTCTCTCTCTGTTCTCTCTGCTCTCTCTCTGTCTCTCTGTCTCTCTCTCTCTGTCTCTTTCTCTCTGTCTCTCTGTTCTCTCTGTCTCTCTGTTCTCTCTGTCTTCTTTCTCTCTGTCTCTCTCTGTTCTCTCTGTCTCTCTGTCTCTCTGTTCTCTCTGTTCTCTCTGTTCTCTGTCTCTCTGTTCTCTCTGTTCTCTCTGTCCTCTGTCTCTCTGTCTCTGTTCTCTCTGTTCTCTCTGTTCTCTCTGTTCTCTCTGTTCTCTCTGTTCTCTCTGTCTCTCTGTCTCTCTGTTCTCTCTGTCTCTCTCTGTCTCTGTCTCCTCTGTCTCTCTGTTCTCTCTGTTCTCTCTGTCTCTCTGTTCTCTCTGTTCTCTCTGTCTCTCTGTCTCTCTCTCTCTGTTCTCTCTGTTTCTCTCTGTCTCTCTGTCTCTCTCTCTGTTCTCTCTGTTCTCTCTGTCTCTCTGTCTCTCTGTCTCTCTCTGTCTCTCTGTTCTCTCTGTTCTCTCTGTTCTCTCTGTCTCTCTGTTCTCTCTGTCTCTCTGTCTCTCTGTCTGTCTCTCTCTGTCTCTCTCTCTGTTCTCTCTGTTCTCTCTGTCTCTCTCTGTTCTCTCTGTCTCTCTGTTCTCTCTGTTCTCTCTGTTCTCTCTGTCTCTCTGTCTCTCTGTTCTCTCTGTCTCTCTGTTCTCTCTGTTCTCTCTGTCTCTCTGTCTCTCTGTCTCTCTCTGTTCTCTCTGTCTC